AGGTTCGACGATGCTGTTCCACCTTAGCTTTGCTCAGGGTTTTTGTCAACAAGTTAGCTTCCGTGAACTCAGTAGGGCAATCTTGGAGTTCAACTGTCTCATCTTCCACTCGTTCTCGAACAAAGTGGTGTTTCATATCGATGTGTTTAGTTCGCTTTTGCTTCACAGGATCCTTGCACATCTTGATACAGCTCTGGTTGTCCTACTTGATGACAGTTGGTCCGTCAATAACTAAGCCCATCTCATCGAGAAGTGATCGCAGATATAGAGCCTCTTGAACTGCTGCTGCCATTGCTTGATACTCAGCCTCACTGGTAGATATGGTTGCAGTTGGTTGCTTCTTGGTGCTCCAACTAACTGCTGCCCCTGCCTTCTGCAGATGAAAGCTGTAGCCAGTAGTTGATCGTTTATCATCCAAATCTCCAGCCCAGTCAGCACCTGCGGATCCATAAAGTTTTATACCAACAGCTTCATAGTGTAGCACAGCTGAGGATCTTTGCGCCCCTTCAGGTAAAGAAGAACCCACTTTGCAGCCAACTAGTGCACCCTTCCCGGATTCTCCAGGAAACGAGAAAGTTACGTCATAGTAGCTAGGATATCTGGCCTTATTTGCTTAGCTATGTACAATAATGAGCCCACAATGACTCTGTAGTCCTCAGCCTTCATGGATACTGCCTCTGCTGACCCAGCTTCAGGGCACCCCTTCTTCGATCGACAGTTGTGCGCTGATATCCGCTGGTGTGCCCTCTGGTTTGCATTCAGCACGGCCAAAACGCTCAAAGGACAATGCGCCTCTGTCATCCATCTTGAATCGTTCGGAGAAACGGTTCCTCAGCTTGTCGACTTCGTCTTGACATCTGCACCCAAAAATGATGTCATCTATCCAAACCAGCGCATAAATCATTGCATCAGTTGTTCCCCTCATCGTGGACAAACAGTAGTCATTGCTGCTTCTAGTGAACCCTTCATCAAGTAGGAAAGTGCTCAGCGTCTGATACCAGTCTCTTACTCCCTGCCGCAGCCCATAGAGACTTCGTTGTAGCAAGCACACTTGGCTGTCACCGCTGCTGAACCCCTCTGGCTGCTCGATGTACACTGTCTCTGCTAGAGGAGAATTGAGGAAGGCTGACTTAACATCCATCTGATGAAGTAAAAGATCATTTTGTGCCCTTCAGCAGTATCCTTTTTGTTTCTGGTTTACAGGTTGGAGCAAACGTCTCATTGAAGTCAAGTCCTGCCACTTGCATGAACCTTTTCACTACATATCGGTCTTTGAAACGATCCACTTGTTCCATCGCATCTCTCTTTACAGCAAGAACCAATCGTCCAGAAAGAACATTTTCATATTGTGGTCTAACAACAAGTGTCCATGTTCCCATGGCTTCTAGAGACTTCACCTCTAAAGCCATAGCTGCCCACCACTGCTCCTTTTCGGGTCCAGACGCTGCTTCTGTATAGCCCCTTGGCTCTTAAATTCCAATCACTGAAGCATGGGTATAGGCCGGTCCGTATCGAATGAGTGGGTTCCTTGTCCTAACGGACCTCTGCACTGGATGATCAGTAGAATGTGAATCTACTGCTTCCTTCTCGACCTGATTTTCCTCAGTAGACCCTACTGAATCTGCAGTATCACCCTCAGTTAGCGCGCTTCGTGCTTCGCTGGTTTTCTTCGTGCTTGGTTTCTCAGTTTCAATGCACCCATCGATTGATAGCTCCAGGATTTGTTATTGCTCACTGTCAACCATGAAGTTATCTGGAATGATGTTCTCATTGAACGTCACGCTTATTGTTTGCACCACTCGTCTTGTCTCTAGATCCATCAGCAGGTAGGCTTTGCTCTCCTCGTCGTAGCCGATGAATTTCTTGCCCTTTGGATCCAGTTTCCGTCTGTTGCCTCGATCCAGATATTACGCCAAGCAACCCAACACACGCAAATAGCTCACTTTTGATGGTTTTCCATAGTGCATCTCTGTCGGTGGAAAGCGGTTCTCGTTGCTGGATGTAGGACACAAATTGCGAACCCTCACAGCTGTCGACATTGCTCGCACCCATAATATCTTTGGCGGCTTGGCTTGGGCCAGCAGACATCGAGTCATCTCGGTGATCACTCTATTTTAGCGCTCTGCTACACCATTCTGTTGAGGAGTATTGGGCAGAGTGAACTCTTGCTTCACCTGGAATTCTCTAAAAAAAATCAACTAAATGCATTTGTCGAATACTCACCTCCATTGTCAGTTCGCAGGCACTTTGGAGCTCCATGCTCAGCCACAAACTCCTGGATATTTAGTAGAGCATCACTGTTATTCATCAGGTACTTGACCACAGCCAGCCGACTTAAGTCGTCGAAGGTCAAGGCATAGCATGCACCATGCATACTCGGTACTTCAAATAGTCCCTGAATGTCACTGAAGACCCGTTGCCCCACTGCCGATGCTCTGCTGTCAGTCTTCTTAGGCTCTGCTGCTTCATGCATCTTACAAGCTGTACACGCTTCGCAGAACTCTAGCTCGGCCACATTGACAAGCGATGAAAGATCCTGCTGGTTGAGGTGCCCCAGTCGTTGGTGCCACAACATTGCATCACTGGTATCTCTCCTTGTTTTCGTCACTAGAGTCATCGGGTTTCTCTTGAACTTGCACTCAAGGAAGAAAAGCTTGCCGTGCTGCCTAACAGGTAGCTGTCCCCCATCTGGTGCCAGCATCATGGCAGTCCCTGATCTCCACTTCCACTGATTCTTTGCCTTCAATCCTTGACAGCGAGCCGTTGGGGTTCTCCACAGTTGTCCCTTCGTTCCAGCTCTCAAAGCTAGAAAAGACAGCCCTGTCGCGCACCAAACGATCAGTGAATCCCGTATCCACAATGAGGTCGTCTCCCTTCAATGAAGTTGCTGCTTGCACTCCGTTGCAAAATATTCAGGTTGCCCACAGTTGAACCACCCTTGCTTTTTCGCCCCTGGCCCACTTGCTTCGTTCGACCCACTGCCTCGAGCACTAGATTGTCCGCTGTCACTTTTGGATTTGCAGTTTCTCGCCATATGACCCTTCTGACCGCACACATTGCAGCCATTATTTGACACTCTTTTCTTCTTCTTCCTCATAGCTAGCATGGCTATATGACCACGTCCAGTCCTCTCTCCACATCGAGCCTTCCTCGAGTCATCGTAGTTCCTCAACCTTGTTTTCAGCTCTGGAAACGTCTCGGCTGGTTGTATACTCTCTTGCACCACAAAATGCTCATAGCCGTCAGGCAGCCGATTGATCACCAAAGCATTGAACAATGTGTCCGTGATTGCTTTTCCAGCTTCGCTCAACCGCGTCATCAGGTCTTGACTGCAAACGAAGTAGTTGTCCAGATCCTCCTCTTATCCTAGGCGCAATTTCGCAAGCTGACCAACGAGACTGACTGACCACCGTCGGCCTCTCTACACTTCAAAACTTCTCTTGAAGCAGCTTCCAAGCCTTCTTCCCATCGCCATAGCCATTTGTTCCCACGCAGTCGTTCTTTTTGTACTTGAAAGTGGTTTTGCTGAGCACCAGAGCCAGGTGGGACGACACAGTGTTTCGATTATCTTTGCTCTGCTGGATCAACACTGCTCGCTTCTGCATCCTGGTATCGTAGGCTGCGGGAGAGTAGGCTCAGCCTCTGGCAGACCATCATTGCCCATCACTGTACTGAACAAGGCCTTGGTGTGCATCAGCGCCACAAACTTTGTCGACCGAGCAGAAAAGTCTTCAGATTCAAGTCCATCGTTGCTTAAGGCAGCTAGCTAAAAGCTAAAAACCCTGACAGAAAAATAATACAAGAAAAAAATTAGAAATCTGGGCCTATAACTGTTAAGATTCAGATTTAGAGCAACTAGAATTAAGAGCTGGGGTTAGAGACTGAGATAGAATCTGAGGTTTGAACTGAGGATTGAGAAGAGGTAGTGATTGTTGAAGAAGGAAATGAAAGAAGTAAAACTAAATGGCATGACATACTAAGCTTTAAAAAAGTACCAGTTAATTATTTACTCACTAATTAATTAGTTTGAGATCACTAATTGACCTTGTCTGAGTTTAATCAGTTTTGACTACGATTCAATTAATCTGTCTGACCTTGAGATGGTCTGACCTTAACAATTTGCAAACCTGAGAGACTTTTCAGTAACGAGTTACAAAATGAATTGTCAACAAACAACATACTTATATTTGTTTCGGAGGATTTTTTCTAACAGACCAATTTTTAAATAATTACGGCGAAAAAAATTTTTTTTTTCCAGGTGTTTTTACTGTTAATACACTTTGGAGGACGCCAAGAACCTTTTAAAAACGCCTCGAAGATTTTTAGCTCGAAAAGAGAAAAATAAATTTTTTTGCAGTCTATTGTAAGGAACTGACGCTCATCGATTGACAGAAAAAAAAACATTTTCAGTTTTGGGTCAAGCTTCCCCAATTTAGACAGTTTTCTCGCAACTTGTCAACAAAACTACCAACTTCAAAAGCAGAAAGTCGCAATTAGCGGCAAAAAACAGCTTTTCGCTTCAATAATACTCGTGCCGACTGCTACCTCAGCAGGGCAAGTGGCCGCTACTTGCCAATGTCGCATTTGAAGTTAGTGATCTGACTTGCTAACCTGCTAAAATACCTAACACTCTTTTTCGTGTTATCTTTATTGCATTATTTTTCCCAGTCAATTCTTTCTTACAACATACAAATAAAATTGTATGCAAAATTTCGCAAAATTGGACCAAGTAAAAGTGAAATTGATCTCAGGTTAAACGAAAATGGCAGAACTGAAATGAAGCTTTATCTTCTTTAAAAAAAATGTGATGACACTTTCTTGATTTGCCCCCATAAGATTTGTAGATTGAAATGGTTGTGTTTCGAACTAGACTCAAAATTTCCAAGTCCTTTACTGTACGAATAAACCGAGGCAATTCATTAGATTCAAAAACAAACTCCAATTTGAGAAGACAACTCAAATCGCCTTCTGCAAATATTTGAAACCACCGTTTCTTATCTCTACATTTGAGCAAATATTTAAAACCAAATCTGACTCAAGAAAATCCTAACATGTCATTCACCTCTTAATATTGACATGAACAACAAACATTACCAGCAAATTTGTTATATCTGCGACCAATGACGCAAAAACTAAATAATATATATAATAAAATTAAAGAAATATCACGCCACACATTCCGAATATAGAATCAGCATGCATGTCACGTGTGCATATTTTACCCATAAATTATAACAAACTAAATCAAGATAATAATTTAGAAAGTATAATTGATTAAAAAAAAACAATACACTTAATCTGCAATTTGCCTCAGAGTTGAACAAAAACGGTTCAAAAGTGAAGTTTGATTTGCAATCAGTTCTGATTGAAAAACCAAACTCCTAGAGATTTTGCCAAACCTAAAAACTCGTTAGTTTTATACAGAATCATGAAGTTTGCCCATAGTTGCGTTAACTCTTTATACTTGTATGCATCGTTTGCTTTTGCCTTCGCAATTTTGCTGTTAACCGTTGAAAGATGTCACACAACTTATGTCAAGGACGGAACCCAACCCTCCAACCCCGTCCTACTAATCCCCGGCGACGGAGGAAGCCGCATCTACGGTAAACTAAACCGGACCTCCACCGATCACTGGTTCTGCTACAAAACCACCAGTGATTGGTTCACGATGTGGCTAAATTATGAACCCTTCTTTTTTCCACCTGTGTTCACGTGTTTCATGGACAATGCTCACCTGGTTTATAATAACAAGACGGGGGAGTATTCAAACGTTCCTGGAGTGACGACTAAAATGGACCCCATTGGATCTCTAGATGGATGCAGTTACTTGGGTAGGTAAAGTCTTAAAAAATAAGTTCTATGAAATCATCTAAATCTCTAGTTCATGAAGAAAAAATTATTTTCGTTATAGGAAAAAACTCACAATTTTTGCTTTCAAATGATACTTAGTTTTGTAGATAATAAAGTCTGAGTACTTTTTAATTAGCAAACTTTGAGTATTTTTTAAACAAAAAGTTATTGAAATAAGAGTAACGAAAATTAGGAAAATTAGGAAATTTAGAAAATTATATATAAAATTTCCTACGAAACGCATTTTGTTTTGATAAGTTTTGGCTGATATTGTTAGGGTGGGTATGAAACTAAGTTTCATGAACTTGTTACTAAGCTTCAAACCTTTTTATATCGACACTAAAAGAAATTGGGTATCTCGAAATTGGGGGAACCGAAAAAGAGCCGAATAAAAAAAAATAAGGTTTTCATTATGGTATATTACTTAATTTCGTTTTCAACGTTTTTATAAAACGTAACTGGTAATAGAAAACACCGGAAACAAGAACTATAAAATCCAACAATGTTTTTTGATATCTTTTTCAGATGATCTGGACTTAATCACCTACTTCGGCAAGATCGTCAGTCATCTCAAAACCAATCGGGGCTACACTAATGACAACCTTAAGGTAAGCAAGAAAAGCTAGTTTTAATAGCCATATGTATATAAAATAGAAAAAAAAATCCTTTGAAAAAAAAATCAAAAAAGTTTTGTGATCCAAAGATTTTTGTGCTTACAAACTTTGACTTTCTAAGAGATTGCCCCCCACAATTTTTTTTCGCTATGGTTGAGGATACATATGCTATTGCAACGCTGATGTGACACTGGTAAAGTATTTTTGATTTTTTAAGATATTGATCGAATCACAAAGCAAAGTTCTTTTAAATGATCTCTCGACTCCATCTGAACTTCAGTTGTGGGACATAATTTTGCGTGGGGAAAAAGGTATAGAAAGACAACTGAATACACATTTCCTCCCCAATTCCTGGTCGGAACAATATCAACGTCCATCACGTAACGAGACAAGAAGCAATATTGTTGAAAAAAAATGGTGCTGGAAAGTACTTCACTTATAATAATCTTCTTAAACAAGACAGTGCTTGATTCTCCTTTCTTGGTTCCTTAACTACTTCAGTTTCATTCGAAAGTCCTTCAACTTAAGTTGTAGTTTCTACATAGTACAAAATTCATTAAAACTTGTACATTTTCTATAAATAAAAACGTTTCGTTCCCATTACAGCCCCCAGAAAACTATAAACCCACAGTTTACGAAAGAGAGCTGTACAACTTTTGCTAAATCCCCGGGAAGGATATTGAGGGTAAAATGGGGAAAAACACCAAAAACACTGCTATGAAGTTGTTTTATATTTCTTCTTTCTTTTCGGGCTAGGCCTATTCGTACGATTGGAGATACACCCCCGTGAACATTCACAAGGAGGGGGACGAGGGGGAGTTTGGGGTGATGAAGCAACTTGTGGAGGATATGTGGCAGAATAACAGTCAGCAAAGGGTGGTCATTGTCACCCACAGTCTGGGGGGAGTACTCGCCCAAGCATTCTTCGAATGTGAGTTAAACTTTACGACAATTTATTATGTGCCCCCCCCCCCCTATCCTGTTTCTGAAACAATCATATTTGATCATATATAATAATCATAATAAATTGTTTTCAGGCAGAAAAAAATACACTATAAATACACTATAAATGACAGCTTAATAAATTTAGTACTGCCACAGGAAATCGCCGTAAGTTAGATCAAATAGCCATTGGATCTACAGTTCCGTTTTCAGGTGTTCTGGGATTGCATTTTTAGGTGTTTTTTGGTTATTTTTCTGGTCTGGGTAATGTTATCTTACCCTCAAGCACAAAGCACGGATCAAAGGAGGGCATCGAACCACTGGTCTTTTGACTTAGAGGCGGAGACTTACCACTTCACCACTTCTCCTCAATATTAATCTTGAATGCAAAAGGCGGGAAGCGGGTTATGGAAGATCTAATAGCGATCTTGAGGACTACTTGCTTTTCTTCTATAACGGGATCAGGGTAGATGTAGAGTTTTAGAGAAGCACAGTTTTTCAATGCAACTTCATCGACTTTTTAAGCCCGATGAATATGATAGTCTGAGTTCTCCTCAAAACTGAAAAAAAAAAAAACATATTGTGACAAAAATTTCTTCTAATTTAGATATTGATCAAGCATGGAAAGACAAGTACGTTCAGAACTGGGTGTCAATCGGAACCCCCCTTTTTGGGGCAGCCTCCTCTGTCGAATCATTCTCTAGTGGGTACAACTTGGGCAAATTCATCGTGCCTAATTTCAAACTACGAAAGGGTCTCCGCTCTTGGCCATCTACAGCTTGGCTCATACCAGCAGCTAAATATTGGGACTCAAATCCTATAATCATGACCCCCACTCAAAATTTTACCGCTTCTTGGGACGATATGGACGCCTTTTTTGATGCCATAAATTGGCCCTATGGAAAGACGATGTTTCATCAAGTACGTTCGGTGCTCACATTTGAACCTCCAAAAGTGAACATTACATGTGTCTATGGTTCTGAAGTAAAGACTCCCTCTCAATTTTAGTGAGTATAGTTTCAAACTATCGGCTTTTAAACTGATTAGAGGCTAAGCAAACATAACCGAAACTCTCCTTATACTCGACACATACTTGCCATATTAACAAATTTTCGATGTCCTTGGAACGTAAGGGGGTGTGAGCCCAATTTAAGTAATTTTATAAAAGTATCAAATTTTTGTGGAAAAAAAACTAATTTTTGTAAAATCGAGCTCCCCTCAGACAAATTTTTAAAAAAAATTTGCAGGATTAAGTTCAAAAAACCATAAAAAGCTTTTGTTTCGGCTCTTTTTTGAAAATTGTTATCAAATAATGAGCGAGCAGTTGCTAAAAAAAATGATAAAACAATAAAATAGCCTAACAGCGAAAAAAAATTGGCAGCCTGTCAGTTTTATAAAATTGTTTCTGGACTACATGAATAATTCACAAAAGAAAGTTTCACAAATTAAACGCAAATTCAGGTTTTTATATTTTGTCAAGAATCCTATTTTCAAGATCATTTGCCAAAACATATACTTCCAACTCAGAAAAAAAACATTTTACATCCACAGAGAGAAAGTGATCTGACATAACGTTTTCGAAAGCATAAATGTTTGGTTTCAAGTTCTCACCAGTTTAATGCGCGTTTGAAATTGGCAGTTTTTAACATCTGGAATATTTTTTCCGTTTTTCCGACAAGGTAACAAGGTAATAAGTTGCAGGGCTATTTTCCATTCCCGCTCATTCCATGTTCAGTATCTTTTTACATGCAAATTTGGACATATGGATATTCTCTGCTGATTTTTTTTCTAATTGCAAGAAAACTTCGGTTTTTAGTTCTTTTTGAACTTCAATGTTTAAATATCGTCAAAATTAGTGAAAATTGGTTTGATGATTAAACTAACTATTTTGAACAGATTACTCTTCATACTTGACACCGTAACACTACCCAATTGGCCATAATGACACGTAATACAACTCTGAAAACTAAAAATATCAAATGCGCGGAGATTGATAAGGAACATGAGTTTTTTTTTTTAAATTTTTACGCCGTTACTAAACTTACAGTTGCGAAACTTGCTTGCAAGGCATAAAATACAGAGTTGGGTCTCGTAATGTACAGCTTTTTATGAAAAATTTTCACAGGTGACATAAATACTTTTTTAACTTGAGCTTAGTACAACAATACCTTTCAAACTGTATGAAAAAATTCCATCAAAAATAGCTTGTTAAAAATCGAAAATCTGAGACCATTTTTTGAATTTTGGAAGTTTTGATTCCCAAATTGGCGTTAAAAAACTTCAAAATTTAACTTAACTTAAAATAAACTACTGTAAACCTGCAAATCTTATTTTGACAAACATTTTCAGCCCGAAACTAGGAAAAAAACCAAAAATTTTACATCGTTAATTCTCAAATTTTCTAATGTTTTACAAATCACGTTTAAAAAGGCTTCAAAATAATATATAACTCGACCCATTTTGGGTGGAAAAAAAACACCCGAATACAATGTTTCTCCACTTTTTTCGGCTCTTTTTCCTTTTCCCCCCACCTGCAAATTTTTACATGTAAATTTGTTGACAACATTGTCCGATTGTTACAAAAATTTACATACAGACTAATAAGGCCACGACGAACATATTTGGTCGTCATACTCAACTTTATAAAACCACTCGTTACACTAATATTTTGAAGCTCGTGTGAGGTGGGGGGGGGAAAGGAAAAAGAGCCCTTTTTTCAAATAATCTGAACAATAAGATTCCCCCCCCCCCTCCCCCCAACATTGTGGTATGGGCTCTCTTTCACCCCACCCCACATTTCGAAAAGCCCATTTTCATTATTGTTTTACGCGTGTTTATATGGTTAAATGTGTGATCTTACATGCCAAGTTTCATTGCATTATGACAATATTCAAGCAATTGTTCAAAATTGAAATGAAAGGTGTGTGGGGGGGGGGGGGGGGGGGGGGGAGTTGGAAGAGAGCCTCGTTATGTTACGATGTAAGGTATCGAGAAAAAATCTGTTCTCAATTTGTTCATCAGCCAAAACTTCTTTACATTATGGCACCGTTAAATTAGTTTTTCGAAACTCAAATTGGAAGTCGAAAAAAGCCAAGTTAGGGTATGAGGACAAATTGCGGCTCTTTTTCCTTTCCCCCTCCCACATGCAAAACTTTCCTAGTGAAATTATGTTCACATTATCCGAATGTTACAAAATAGTATGCGAACTAATTAGGCAATGACAAACATGTTTGGTCTTCATGATTAACCTTGTAAAACCCCTCGTTACACCATAAAATTGCATATTGGAAAGAGCCCAATTTGAATATTGGGTATTTTGTTTGCTATTGGGTACTCAACCAAAAGCGATGCACTTTGCTTGGCGTATATAATTAGGAAGAGTATCTTTTATGCGAAGCAGTAGCTTGAAATAAAAAAAAAACCGATCCGAAAAATTTGCACGAGCGCATCAAGAAACACCTTTTAGGTCATGACCTCTGACTTCCGATTTGCAACCGATGGTTTTTAATTCGTGCAAATGACTTTCGAGAAATCGTATTTTTTGAACCTGAATGCATGTAATAATCAAACATAATTTTTAGAGAGTTAGAATTAATGCCATGTAATGTCAAGTGGAACGTACGCCCGCTGCTCATAGTTTTAAAAACTGTTTTCCAAAACAGTTTATGAAATTTGAACTGGTTATTTTAAAATATAAACTGCCTATTTAAATATACAAAAATAACGCTTAATGCGCTTTAGGCATTATAAAAAATATCAACATTGTCAAAAAAAATTTCGCGAAATTTTTGTATTCGAAGATGATCTATCTCACCATGTGATTTTGGCTCTTTTTCCTTTCCCCCCCCCCCCACCACACACGAGCATCAATTTTATGGTGTAATGAGTGGTTTTACAAGGTTGATTATGAAGACCAAATATGTTTGCCAAAGCCTTATCAGTCTGTATGCCAATTTTCGAAACAATCGAATAATGTTAACAAATTTTTCTTATGTAAAATTTTGCAGGTCGGGGGGAAAAGGAAAAAGAGCCGTGATTTTTGAGGAATATAAGGTTGTACGTTTGTAAAAATGGGTTCGTGTTTAGCTACAAGTATGGTCTACCCGACGACGGTTCCGACCCCACAATCCTTTACGGCGACGGAGACGGCACCGTAAACATCAAGTCTGGCATGGGTTGTCTTATGTGGCAAGACATACCCGGTAACTCAGTTACCGGCATCGAGTTAAAGGGGGTCGAACACGTAGGTCTTTTATCCGACCAAGGAAGTCGAGACGCGATTGACAAAGTGCTCGGATACTAGATCCTTTTTTGCCTCGTTGTGTTCATAATACTCACTATCGGAATATTATCTTCTGGCATCAAAATTGAAGTTACTTTAAAAATAAGAAAAGTATGGGTTTTTCAAGATTGGAAAATTTTATATGAATTACATTTCCAAACTTCCTCAACCCGTGCTGTAATTTTTCTTTTTTTTCTCATTTCGTTTTATATTATTCATTTTTGCCAATGCCCATGTTTTTGAATTTGGCGAAGCATACAAAAATTGAACTATTTTTTGCAATTTACTGTTTTGTAACAGAAGATAAACCTCTGTAAGTGTATCGTATTTATATTAAATTAAAATTATCTTTCAGTTTTAGAAGAACTGCCGATTTTGATTTTATTTGGAAGCCTTATTTAGTAATATTGAATTATTAAATACAGTTTGAAATACTTTGTTTTTATATAGAGATGAAAAAAGGGCTGCAATGATTTGAGCTTGTAATTTATATCAAAACAGCTTACCTTCAATTTCAGCGGCCACTGATTGTAGCATTTGGCAGTTCTATCCTTCGGAAATTCGGCAGGAAAATCGGCGACAAGTTATTCCATAGAAACCATATTGAATTGAAATTCGTAAAAAAAACTGAAGTTTCGAACTACATGTATATTTAATTTCTCGAGTCTTTTGAACCGAATCGAAGTCGAAGTTGATTTTGAGGCACGTTTCATTTATCATCATGCTTTTCATGCGTGACTCATCTTAAATTTCGGGAAATCAAACGTACAATTGAACATTGAGTTGTGCATTTATGAACAGATACTCTAAAAAATGTTGATCACACTCACAATGTGGTACTTGCTATTTTGCTTTTAAATTTCATAGCTAATGGTTTTTGATGTATGTCGTTTAGAATGAAATCTAAAAATCAGCAAGCTCTCTAAAATTAGTAACCGCAACCAATAGAGTTCATAGATGCAAAAAAGATGCACGTTTGCAAGAAATGAAGGCTTCTGACACCTCACAACGAAAGAACCCAACATTAGAATTTTTAAGTTTATGATTTTAAATCAAATAATGTCCACTTACCAAAGTGTTATGAAGGAAGTCTTGTGAAAGGAAATTTGTGGGTTCAGACCAATTTAAGCGTACTTTGAAGAACCTGGTCAAAAGAGATATTTTTCAGACAACAAAGGGAAAAGTCCAATACAGGATCGGCGGAGTAAAGTTGCGCTCAATGTAACTTTTTTCGACTATTTTTTTCTGACTGGGACATGCGTATGTTGCATCATTTTCAAACAACAGCCACAAATCAAGGCGGGCCTCGAACCCCCAACCTTTAGATTGCTTGTTTTTTCTATGTCAGTGTTAAAGCGGCTCAGTTCCGCCGAGCAAAACTTTCATATATACATTTTTTTAGAGTTATATATTTGACATATATATTAAATTATTTAAAAAATTTGTTGTTACGATCACCGAATCTCCTGAAAAGAACAAGAAAATTCAGATTTTGGCGCTTTATCTATCAACCTAATTAGGTTACTCGAGCTCTACTTTCGCAATTATTATTAGGTCACTCAAATTAGTTTTCCGAGCTCTCTCAAATCACTATAGAAATGTATGTTATCCAAAAATATGTGTTGTTTTGGCCCACGCTGCCCACGAAAATTTAACGTATTTGGTTTTTTGAAGGCGATTATAGAAATGCTTTAGGAGCGGTCAGCCAAAAACGGATGCCTTAAAGAAGAACAAAAAGGGAGAGTCGAATCCCTGAGGAGGTGGCGTCCGTTCCCTGCTTTGAAGGCTTTTTACCACGTATTCACAGATAATTTTTCTTCAATTACAGATGCTCTAGCTGAAAATTAACAAGATTTATGTTTGATCTACCACTGTCATACCGCTACTGCAGTAGCAGTATTTATTATACGTATGTACAGCCAACCTCTGGTGTTAAATCATTATTTTATGGTACGCTCAAGGTCATACATAAGTGATGACACTGAGACCAAGTGAGAGATCAGAGTACTTAACTATGATCTATCTCTCAGTACATAAGAAAACAAAGAAAAGAGAAAATCTAAATTCAATATTCAGAATACAGTATTGAATTCCAACTTGTTTTCAATTTGATATCGCAACGCATATCACATGGCGCAGCCAGCAGGATTCGCAGCTCAAGACAACAGAACGGATATGGGAATCCCGGTATTTTGGGCATCAGCGAATCTAGACCCTCCGTGGCAATTTAAAATCTGGTTCGAACAATTTCTCATGGCGGTTACGGTCAAAGAAAATGTGAACCCAGAGATTATTTTGGAAGAACCAAAAGACATATTAGAGGAACCACCACCACGCCCGGAAACTCCCAGGGATGGGGAGAACGAAGATGCGAGGAACGCCAGAATTCTTAGAGATAAACTAGCTAGAGACAGAGTAGCATTGGAGAACGAAGAGAAAAGAACAAGAGGCCCAAGAGTCGGACACAATGTCTTCTACAACGAAGTACAAAAGAAACTGGTGTCACCACTATTTCTATCTTTGGGCACTGAGGGAAAGAAAAGATTCCTACAAAAGAATCCGCACGCAGAAATATCGAAAATGACGTTCAGAGAAGTAACAGAGTTGGCAGAAGTCTCGTTTCAAAAAGTGAAATGTGTAACATACGAGAGATACAAGTTATTTACGAGAATGCAAGAACATGGAGAATCTCTGGAATCATTCCACGCAGCGTTAACTGCTCAAGCAGCCCGATCAGAACTAGGGACATTGGAAAATGAAATCGTGCGAGACTTGTTCATCTCGAAGATGAAGAACATGACATTACAGGACACGTTGACATTCGAAACCCTGGATCCAGAGGAAGTTCTAAAAAGGGCTATAAAATTCGAACATAGCAAGTTAACCACAATGGCATTTCAAAAGTCTAATGCTGCGGCTGCAGGAGGATCAAGTAACAATTACACATCGGGTGTAAGAATAAAACAGGAACCTGTAATGGCAGTTCGAAATTTGGGGGGGAAAACCAAAACTCCAAATAGAAGAGAAAATAATAACAGACAGAATAATAACAAAAATCAAAACACGAAAACAAAACCATGTAATAGATGCGGAAGGACGTTTGAACAAGGACACCTAAAAAATTGTCCAGCGATGGGAAAGGACTGTAAAAACTGTGGTAAACCAAATCATTTCGCTAAAATGTGCAGATCACAACAAGTAAGTGAAATTGCGGAAGATTCGGAAGAATCGATAGTGGAATGCGACCAGATCAGTGAAGGTGTTGGGTCTTGTAGTGAATTTGAAGTCATGTTGATACAAACTCAACAACCGGAAAATGAACGAGTTTCAAAATATGTGAAAGATCGAATAAATGAGATGAGAAAAGAAACAAACGGAAAAGTGGTTAGAGTTCAGAAAATAGACTCTATTCGAGATCCAACATTGAACCGCGTAAAGTCACTAAAGGCTATGGTACGAATAGATAACCAGATTATTCAGCTAACAGTGGATACGGGTAGTCCTGTTTCATTTCTTAACTGGGCAACGACGAAAGAAATCATGGAAAAATCAAACAAAGTGAGATTCATACCGGCTGACAAATTGAACTTACAAACAAAATTTGTGGACTACAACAAACAACCGATCAGTATCCTGGGAGCCCTAAAAACCAATCTGAGGTCAGCGGGCTGGGAAGTTAAGGGCGCAACCTTTCTGGTATCAGAGCGAAAAACTAGATGCATCATGGGATTAGACTTGCAAGGACAAGTGGGAATAGTGACTACACAAAGAACAGCGCCAAAAGAACTCACCAGGTTTGACGTGCTCATGTGCGAGCAGTCGGAAGGTTGGAAAGAAATATTTTTAAATAAATTTAAGAACGTATTCGAAAGGCAAGGCATTTCTAAAAACCACATCGTCAGTTCAAAATTCAAATACCCACTATGTCCGATACAAGAAAAAGGGAGAAGAATCCCAATTCATATACAAGATAAAGTCGAAAAAAAAATCGAGAAGTTATTGACAGAAGGTCATATAACAAAACTTGATAAGTGTACAAGTGATTGCTTTATCGCCCCGATTGTGATAACAGTAAAGAAGGACGACTCAATAAAATTGGCAATGGACGCGAAACCAATCAATAGACAATTGTTCAAAAACAAATACCAAATGCCAAATGTAGATGAACTTATTGATGGGGTAAGCCAGATTGTAACTGAAAACAAAAAGGGTACGCTATATTTTTCGGTGTTAGATTTGAAATATGCGTACAGTCAACTAAATTTAGCTGCGGATACAGCTAGGCAATGTAACTTTAACATTGTGGGCGGAAAAGCAACCGGAACTTACAGATTCTTGACAGGATTCTACGGACTAGCAGATATGCCAGCTGAATTTCAAAAGGCTATGGATAGAACCATCAATCACGCTAAAAACACGTTCTGTTTTCTGGATGACATACTTATTGTGTCAAAGGGAAGTGAAATCGAACATGCCAACCTAGTAGAAGCAGTATTAAAGAAATTGGATGCGGAAAACTTGGCACTGAAACTATCAAAATGTGAATTTTTCAAACAAGAAGTGAATTGGTTGGGTCATCATCTCTCAGAAGAAGGGGTTAGACCGAAGATCACTAAAACGGAAGCGGTAGTAAACTTGAACCCGCCCAAATCCCTAAAACAACTAAGGTCATTTCTAGGAAGTATAAATCATTTAGCTAAATTTATACCTAACGTAGCAAGTCTGACAGAAAAATTAAGACCACTTCTTAAAGAAGAAAATCAAAAGAAAAAGTTAAAAAACATGAAACTACCGGTGAAAAAATTCGAGTGGGGGGATGTTCACACAGAAGCATTTGATGCTATAAAAGGAGCTGTGGCGAATATTACGAAAGTGCATTATTACGATGCAAATCGTGAAACACGAGTTAAATGCGATGCTAGCCATGATGGACTAGGGTCCACTTTAGAACAACAAAATGATGAAGGGTTGTGGGTCCCAATTTCGTTCGCATCCCGATACCTAAACGCTCAAGAAAAAAAAAATTCAACAAATGAGTTGGAATTATTGGCAGTTGTTTGGGCAGTAGATAGATATAAACACTACCTTCTGGGGAAACCATTTACCATCGCAACTGACCATAAAGCGCTTACAACA